GGAGGAAGCTAGCCTGTTTCAACCCCTTCCATGATTGTTCGCAACCGCTGCCATCCGCAACAGCATGCCAACAAATGTCAAGCTACACTGCCAATACCGACGGGATCTCCAGCTTTGAGTCGGTGCTCTTAATTGACATATCTGCGTACGTAATTCAGGTTATTGTCATGATTTACAGCCTTGCGCGGTGGTGGGCGACCTTCCCGGTCAAACGGGAGTCTCTGACAGCTTCCGACTGGACCCGACCAGGATGTCGGTCGGGTGAAGGGTCCCCGCGCAAGGAGTACCGAGGCTACAATTAGCTCGACTGAATCGCCTACCAGCAGCGTTGGATTCTTATTTTCCGAAAGGCCTTCCGGAGCGTCGCGATGTTGTTTCCAGTGTAATTTACGGCGGTCGGCTCACCGTCTGCATCATGACATGTGCCGCATGTGCTCCCTCGCTCTGGACCCCCGCGATTGGAGACCGCACGTGAGGGGAACAGCTACGCCGGGCAATTATGACGCTGTGCCCCTCCAGAATAACGTTGATGCCACGAGGATAGCAACGGTCCGCCGTTCTCTAAATTCTATTGTATTTCCTCCACCTCATCTTGGGGGAATCCCGTTCACCTCAAATTTCCAGCAAATGCCTCACTGGGCTCTTGCCGCTCGCGCTCCCGCATTCGTGAACGCGGAACCGATTGGCGACCGGGGTCTAGACGCAAAGCTGGAGGCGGGCTATCGACGGCTGCAAGGCTAGAAAAAGTGACGCAAACCGTAGCCCTGTTCATCGGCCTTTCCATTGGCTGCCGAGACCCTTCGGTCAATCGCGGTGCCAAAGCTGCACAGGAGCGGTCATGGGCGTGCCGTCTGCGCATGCCGTCTTGACACGCTGCGAGCGCTGTCAAGCAAGTCAGGTGACGATTCCCCTTGGACCAACCCGCCCTGCATGGCAAAAGAATCCACCTCTGATCCCGCTTGGCATTGGGGTGAAATTTTTTTGCAGACCTGGAGACCAAACTTGTGGGGCCGCGAGCCGCTTGGCGGGCGACGGAGGAATGTTGGAAGCTCGGCCTTCTCGGTCCAGTAGGAGATTCGAGGGCGATAAAAGCTACCTCCGCCTTTTATGGATTCGTATACCAGCGGCATTCCGACCAGAGCGCATCGCGCTCTTCGGTGTTGCTTTCCGAAGACGTAGGTTGCATGAAGTTGGTTGACTTTAACTTGGTCGACTGGACTTGCTACTGTATCAGTTCCCACTGAAAAGTCAATTCCACTGCGCTTCGCCATTCAAGTCGCGGATCGGTCAAACCTTTTACCGCGCCGGGTTCCATGGCTGCAAAATAGTCAGATGTCGCACACAGCTTGATAGTAATTCGAGCCGTGCGGGCAGTTTATTTGGTGCAAAAGTCTCTGAGATGCAGGTAAGATCCATAATGTAGTTCGAGTAGAACAGTTGTGGTTTGATCCAGTGTCTTGGTTGCTGTCGAGTTCGCCCATCCCACAGAAATTGCTAGCAGAGAAAAAAACCCACATTGACACCTTCACCCGTGATTCTCATGCTCGCTTTCGAGGTGCACCAGCAACCCTAGTCTAAAACATTCCGCAACGCAAGCCTTTGGTTGTTTCCGCAGACTGTCCAGCTACGTAGCCTCATATTGACAATCAGCTTCGCTCAATACATCAAAATGGGTGTGATCGCGAAGCGTTCCATGACCAAGACCAGGAGGCGCCTGAGGTAACTCCATTTGATCCATGTTTCTGATGCAACGAGCTCACACCTTTCAGGGACGTCGACCAGATCAAGGCTGACCTCACAAACCCTCGCCATCTCCAGCTTTTCAAGGAGACGAAGGCCCCTGAGGATCTGCCCGGTTTTGGCAAACACTACTGCATCGAGTGCGCCAAATGGTTTGAGTCCGAGACAGGCCTTACTGTGCATACAAAGGGCAAGCCGCACAAGAGGAGGTGAGTTGTTATGCTGGTTCAGCGACTCGCCCTCAGTATTCTAACTCTCCACAGACTCAAGCAGCTCCGCGAAGGGCCCTACACCCATAAGGAGGCGGACGCTGCGGTAGGCCTCTGGACTGATAACGGCAAGGAGAGGACTAAGACTCAGGAGATTGAGATGTCCTGAGCGTAGCTTAGCTCGAGTTCACTGTTGGCAAGGAGGTCTTTTCTCTTGATGCATACTGGGAATGGTCTAGACAGGCAAGGTGTTTGGTTCGGAAAAGCACATTGGCGTCAGGTTTTAGGGAAATAGGCAACTCTCATGAGAGTTAGGTAGCAATACACAGCTTCATACGTGGTTCATGGCGACTGGAGACTCGAATTCCCACCATTCTGATGTTCATCGGGGGTTAGGGTTATATGAGGCCATTTTTCTCGGTGAACCTTGAAGTGCAGTCGAGTTTTGGCTTTTCCCCACTCTTCAGCCTTGCCCCTTCACAATTGCAACAAATTCACTGCGACCTCGAAGGCTATTTTCATGCTTCTTGCAACACGGCTGACGCAAATATCGAGCCTACCACGCCGAAAGATGGTACAAACGGCATATTCCGCACTTGCGGCACCAACTGGCCCCGCCGATAGCCAGCACACTCCGACGGCGATGGGCAGATGGTCCATCCTGAACAAACAGCATCCCGCTGTCGACAAGATCAAGGCCATCCACGTCTACGACTTTGACAACACGCGTAAGATCAGACGCAGCGACGCGCTTTTTTTTTTTTTTTTTTTTTCGGTAGCTGACTAACGTGGTATTCGCCAGTCTTCAAAACACCCCTCCCCAACCAGAAGATCTGGAATGGCCCGACGATTGGAACGCTTGCGAACCCAGATGCATTCGTAAATGGTGGATGGTGGCACGACTCCCGGATTCTTGCTGCCACTGGCGAAGGGATCGCAAAAGAAGAGCCAAGAGCCTGGAAGGGCTGGTGGAACGAGAAGATTGTCGAGCTCATTGGGCTCAGTGTCGAGCAGAAGGACGCGCTCTGCGTTTTACTCACAGGGCGTTCCGAGTCTGGGTTCAGCGAGCTGATCAAGCGCATGGTCACGAGCAGAGGTCTCGAATTTGATCTCATTTCCTTGAAGCCTGCTGTAGGGCCCAACAACCAGCGCTTTGCCAGCACCATGAACTTCAAGCAGATGTTCCTCACGGCTCTCATGGAGACATACAAGCACGCTGAGGAGATCCGCATATACGAGGATCGCCCTAAGCACACTAAAGGCTTCCGCGATTTCTTGGCGGAGTACAACAAGAGACAGAATGGCGCACAGCGAACTCGTGGCCCCATCGCAGCTGAGGTTGTCCAGGTTGCCGACATGGCTACTAGCCTAGACCCTGTGATCGAGGTTTCGGAGGTGCAACATCTCATCAACGACCATAACGCTGCCCTTTCGCAGCGCCGTCGGGGTGTTCGAGGGGAGCGTCTCATGATCAAGAAGACGGTCTTCTACACCGGATACCTAATCAACACTACTGACACACAGCGTTTACTATCCCTTGCTCAGATTCCGCAGAACTTGCCGGATATCGAACTAAAGTATCACGCAAACAACATCATGATCTGCCCACGGCCTTGCCCCGCCAGCATACTCGAGAAAGTGGGCGGTATGGGGAGCAAGATGACCTGGGAGGTGACGGGCACGGCATGCTTTGAGAATAACATCTGGGCAGCTTGTGTCAGGCCAGTTCCGGCCTCAGCCAAATTCCACACAGACAACCCGAGTCCTCTTGTGGTGCTCGCGCTGCGTAAAGGCGCGCGTCCTGTCGACGCAGGTAAGATTCAAAACTGGCAGCCCGTCCCACCAGACAAGGTCTTCACCTTCGAGACTGTCGTTGGAGAGAAAGTCTTGTTGCGCATAGAGGCAGAAGACCCGCGTGAAGGGGAGTATGAGAGCCTGTTTCCCAACAAGGGATCCAAGAGGAAGCACACTGCTGGAGAGGAAGACTTCCGTGCGAGGCCGACCCATCCCACAGGCCCTCGCAATGAGCAGAGGCACTTCCACCAACACGCCGGTCGCGGCGGAGCCGGCCGTGGAGGATTCCGTGGAGGTAATTCGAACAGAGGCCAACGAGGCCAACGAGGCGGAAATGCCAGGGGTCGTGGTGGCAGGGGTGGTGCGCATCACTACAAGTCGCTTGATGATATGGGGACTCGCGAGAATCTGAATGGTTCCGTATCTTACGAGGACGGACCACCACGAGGGTTCACAACGCAGCCTCCCACTGGTCCCGCTGCTCAGTTTCACGGGGGCCAAGGGCAGTACCAGCCGCCACAGCAATATGGCAACTGGCAGCAACAGCAACATGGCAGGCAGAACGGCGGTAATGGTGGCGGTAATGGTCATAACGAGACGGGCAACTACTATTAGGGCGGGAACGGATCGCTCGCATGACCATCGGCATGTGTAACATCAATGTGTGCTTGAGCGTGGCGCCTATGGCTTATTTGAGATGGGTTGGAGTTCGCGGGAAAATGGGCCTCGGTAGATTCCCGATGGGCGTCGGCCTGTGATTTTATCGGTACATTTTACATAGTATCATGGCTCGCCGTGGTTCTCTTGTTGGAGTTTGGTAGGTTATATGGTTTCCCTGCGTGTCGTCCACTTTGGGAGTTGTTTCCGCTCTCTTCCTGTGTATTTTAAGGAGAGCTAGATGTTCGTCTCTACAATCAAACAAACACATGCGAACCTAAGTGAGCCCGATACTTTCATCTTGTCAAAAACAGCTGCCAAAAACTGCTGTCAATATGGAAACCTTGTCGCCCCCGACTTCCAAACCCACACTATCCCCATCCATCGCCTCGACTGTAACCCTATCTCCCAAGCCCTACTCTCCACCCCCTCAAAGATTGCTTTCCACGTATCACATCTCAACAATCATATCGGGTATGGTGTAGTGGCTAACATCGCTGACTCTCATGTTTGAGTACTCAGCAGCCCGGGGTTCGATTCCCCGTTCCCGAGAAGCCAGGCACGACCAAAAAACTACCGTGGATGGCAACATCCACATTGTCTTCCGTAGTATAGTGGTCAGTATGTGAGCTTGTCAATATCTTCCTAAGGTAATGGCATCGCTCAAGACCCGGGTTCAATTTCTGGCAGGAGAGAGAAAGGAGTGCCTGTATTTTTGCCAGCGGGCTTATCACCTTCTGGGGTACGTTTTTGAAGATCTCCTTGTAATGAAACCCGCCAACGCGCGCTCTACGTCCAAAATAAATATCACTAGCGCCAACGTTCTACGGAGATGCCTGTATCTGTTGCCCTTCCTTTCCCACCTTTCCCCCTTTCCCATCCTAGGCCACAATGCCCCCCTTTACCTCCGAATGTCAACACTGGTCCTACCACCCTCAATGGTAGGCCTGACTGAACTGCTCGAGCTACGCCTTCGGCGGGCGCGCTGTTCCGAAGGGTCGGAAGGATTGAGACCACTCGACTTGGCAAACAGGTTGAGGATGTCCGTCAAAGACACTACCCCAGTAAGGCGGCCCGATATCCTCGATCCTGGAAGCGCCGCACTGGGAACAACGGCAATGCTCTGACCTGGGAGAGGTGATTGTGGCCCAGACGTAGAAGTAGTTGGAGGAATGAGAATGGTTGGTGCCGGAGGGGAGGTAGCGCCAACTGCAGCTGCCGCGGCAGGGGTTGGGACCGGGTGGCTCGCCTGGAGGAGAGGTGTTGCTGGCGCACTGGGCGACGGCGACGCAGATTCTACAACCCACATACGGTGAGAATTCGTTGCCACAAGCTTAGCCACGGTGTGGGCGAGAGTCGAGTAGGGGTTGACGTAGAAGACGGGAAACGAGTCGCGGCCGCGTTCTACCCCACGCTCTGACAGGATTACACTGATAAAGTGCATGCAAGAGCTCTTGAGAAGCGGCAAACTGGTTGTGTTGGTGAGGTGCCTGACGTCTGCGGTGGAGATGTTACCAACGACATTTAGCCCATGGTCAACGACGGCAACTGAAGTGAGCCCTTCATTGCTCATAAGCGAAAGAGCATCGGCCAGCGGCGCGTCAGCACTAGGAGACATGTCAGTTCACCTTCTTGCTTTCAAAGGTGCGGTGTGCCTACTTGATAGCAATGATCTGCTGTGTTCCAATCTGGAGGTCTCGAAGCAAGCTTCCGTACAATCGATCAATCACCGGGAAATTAGCCGCCTCGTTCCAGAAGAATTCGAGCAGTCGAAGCTGGTTGAGGACGCCCGTAACTTCTCTGGACTGGTTTGTAACTAGAATGCGGTGGATTCCACTCCCAAATGCCTCTATGGCCCCATCTAGGGTTGAATCTGCTGGCAACACAACCAGCTGCTCTTTTCGAGAGAGAGTCTGAATTTCCCGCAGCGAGATGGGAGTCTGGGACTGCGCCTTCTTCGAAATCTCATCATACGCAGCGACGTGTTCTTCGTTAGGTTTCGCCAGCCCCACAACGACTAATAAATATGCATTCAAATCGCTGGGATCGAACGTGGAGATGGCCGTCTTCGAGTCGCTGGTTTTGCGGATCAGGACCACGTTGCTCGTGTTGTTTTTGAGGAGTGTCTAGCAATGGCGTGTGAGCAAGAGTTTGAGTGTATCAGTGGGCATCGTACCATTGTTGCCTCCTCAACGCTGGTGTCTAGGTCTGCCCATTTTGCTTCGTCTGGCACAAGCTCGGACAGTGCCATATCCCGCCAATCCCTCCCAGCATACCGAGTATTGGCATGCCGGTTCGATGGCGGGTTGATCAAGAGATCTTGAATCGCCTGCTGAGTGAAAGATGGGTGGCGATGAGCATGAGGTGACGGAGGGGGGTATCTTTGGTTCTCGGCGAAGCTCTGTCGATGTGCAGCGATATGGCTGGGTTTGTTGGACTGCGAATTGCTTCGCTCTGGAGGGGACGCTACGCCAGGGAGGGAGCTTGCAGAGTTGCTGCCATTGCTACCTGGCGTCGACTTCGCTGAGGAGTCGACAGGATCCATCGCGCAGCACTCGAGCTACCTAGGTTGAGGTGGGATTTGAGATTTGTAGGTGGTCGATGGGTCAATCCGATCTGGGCCTGGCACGAAGTGGAGTATATTAAATATTTCCTAAGATGCTGAACAGGGCCCTCTGGAAAGAACGAGACGTCTTATGGTTACTTGTAAGCTAGCATGATTGTCGAGGCGGGAGCTCGATCAGGTTGGTGAGAGATCTGGTGACCAGTCATCCGAGAAGCATTGACCCCAAGCGCCCAGGGCTATGACGGTGTTGGCGATGCGGGGTCATGCCAGGTGCTCGGTTGTCAACGAACACAGCCCATTCCTGCGAGACGGGCTGCAACACGTATGTGAATTGCGAGGACGCGATAATTTCACCTGCATGAAGGAGAGAGAGCGCGCGCTCGGCGCTGCCACCTTTCCAGCGGTTAGTCTTGGAGCGCGTTGATGAAATCAGCTCTGACAAGACAGCGACTGCCATGCCATGACCCCTCCCAGCTCTTATCGATTGCACTCAGACCCCTGGTCCCAGCACACATGGCATGATCCGTTGGTTCTTTGTTGTTGGGTCTCAGCCCGAAATTCGAGGGCGGGTGCTCGTCTTGAATGCTCTCTTGGAGCGGTATTTGTGTCGTCTTTGGCACGTACATCGGGTTGGGTGTGGCTCCGCGTCCCGTGACAGCTAGGTTGAGGTGTTGTGGTGGGCAGCGGCGGGGAATGCACAGTTGTGGAAGGCAGAGCACACATCTGTGGAGGATGCTCGAAGTCTTGAATACCTCCCATGAATAGTAGACAGGAGGGTTGGAGGATGGGCGTCTTTATAGCCCATGCCCCCAACATCCATCCAGCCGCAGCCACAAAAGGTTACCTGTCCCGGGAGGCACAAAAGTCTCCGAGTTGGAAACTTTCGCAGTGGACCGCTGCTACAAAGCGAAAAGGCGCGCCCAGCTATCTCTCTTCTCGTGATGAGTATCTCGGTACTTGTCGCAAACACCCCTGCCAAACATAAACGCGTGGAATCTCCAGGGACCAATTGCCAGGACAGCCAAAGGTGATTGGGCACTCTGCCGCACCAACGTCGAGGTGAGGCACTGGCTCTCCACCTGACTGTGTGGGCAAAAATTTCCCCTTGCGACCAACCCCTCCATCCCACCTTTGAGCCAGCCCAATCAAAAAAATATCGACCAAACAACCTCGTCCCCTCTCTCACGCCTATCCTCTCTTAGTCTTTGACACGCTCCTCTTGCCGAAATTCCTCGATCTTGGGACCCCAACGCGTCTCTTTGGGGCGTTTTTGAGGTCGCCGTCGTCAAAGACCAGTCACCTCCTCCGCATCTCAGCCCCGCCTCAGCAGCCCAACGCGTCTGGGCCGTGTTCCCCGCCTGGCCTGCTCGGACTGGGACTGAAGCAATCCGACTTTATTTTCTGGAGGACTTGACCGAAGGGCATTGCGCGCGGTAGCTACCGCGACTCACTTGCAACTCTTTCCCTTGCCGTTCTTCCTGATCTCCTTGCCTTTCCGCCAAGATGTCAATGCTGGCGCCCGATGTCCACAACGAGCTGGCCCAGCTCCTTCAGGCTCTCCAGGCCAAGGACAATGGCGTCCGCTCGCAAGCAGAGGAGCACCTGCACAACAACTGGACCAACACACGGCCAGAGGTTCTTCTGATGGGCTTGGCGGAGCAGATTGCGGCATCGAAAGACACATCGGTACGTTGGCATGTCCCACCGCTCACGACTTCGCTGACATTGACTCTCATGGCTAAAGACGCGTGCCTTTGCGGCCGTTATTTTTCGCCGCATAGCCACGAAGACGAGGAAGACGCCGACGTCCGAGAACACCGATATGTTCATTTCCTTGTCGAAGGACCTCGCCGTCATTATCCGCACAAAACTGCTTGAGAACTTGGTGTCTGAAACCGACCGCACTGTCCGGAACAAGATCAGTGATGCTGTCGCCGAAATTGGGAGGCAGTATTCAGACAACAGTTCGTCTCTCTACACCACACAGAAATCCACGATGCTGATTGATATGTCTAGGTGAATCATGGTCAGAACTCCTTCAAGTGCTGTTTAACTTGAGCCAAGCGCCGGACGCAGGGAAACGGGAAACTGCATTCCGTGTTTTCACCACTACCCCGGGGATTATCGAGAAGCAGCATGAGGAGGCTGTGGCACAAGCATTTGCCAACGCCTTCAAGGATGACACTGTGGCAGTAGGCGGTGATGTCTCGTTCGCTTTTAGGGTTGGTGTGCTAACCCGTCTCTAGGTCCGCCTTGCAGCTATGGAGGCTTTTGCAGCGTTCTTCCGCAGTCTCTCAAAGAAGAACCAACAAAAGTATCACAACCTTCTTCCGGAGGTTCTGAACATCCTCCCCCCAATCAAGGAGTCGAACGACTCGGATGACCTCAGTAAAGCACTTTTGGCGCTCATCGACCTTGCCGAGGGGGCTCCCAAGATGTTCAAGAACATCTTCAACGTCTTGGTTCAATTTAGCATCTCTGTTATCCAGGATAAAGAGCTTAGCGACCTTTGCCGCCAAAACGCCCTCGAGCTCATGGCAACTTTTGCTGATTATGCTCCGTCAATGTGTAAAAAGGACCCCAATTACACCAACGATATGATCACCCAGTGCCTCAGTCTCATGACGGACCTAGGAGAGGACGACGAAGATGCTGCGGAGTGGCTGGCGGCTGACGACGTAAGCCATCAGACATGTCATGTGCGCATGCCGTGCTAACAAATCGCAGCTGGACCAGGAGGAGAGTGACCTCAATCACGTTGCCGGTGAGCACTGCATGGACAGACTCGCAAACAAGCTGGGTGGGCTCGTAATTCTCCAGCCCACTTTCGGGTGGCTTCCTCGAATGATGCAGTCGATGGCCTGGAGGGACAGGCATGCCGCTCTCATGGCGATATCTGCCATATCGGAAGGCTGCCGCGACCAGATGATCGGTGAGCTGAAGCAAGTGCTCGAATTGGTCGTCCCGGCCCTGAAAGACCCCCACCCTCGGGTCCGCTGGGCTGGATGCAATGCTCTCGGCCAGATGAGCACCGACTTCGCACCGACCATGCAAAAGGACTACTACAACGTGGTCCTCACCGCGATCCTCCCTGTCCTCGACTCGCCCGAAGCCCGTGTCAAGTCACAC